TGCAGTGAGTCCACGGCCACGTCCCCCGTGTGAGCTGACAGCCGGGAGCCCCCGCCCCGTCCCCACATTCCGACGACTGTTGCTCCAGCCAGCCTGGCAGAGCTGGGCCCCACACCGCAGCCCCGCCGCGCCTCTCTGTGGTCCCTCGCTTCTGATCACAGCCTTCTCCGGGAGAGAAGTGGCCTTCCCTGCCCCTGCCCCTGCCTTCTTCCTGCTGCTGGGAAGGCGGCCCTTCCCGCCTCGGCTCGGCTCGGCTCCGCTCAGCTCGGGGGGGAGCTGCCTCCAGGGATGGTATGGGACCGACAAGGCCCAGAGACTCAGAAGGAGGTCCGAGGAACCAGAGCTGTGGACTCTACACTGTGAACTTGGGGCGCGAGGGGGCACTGTAGTAGCCTGAAACCTCCCGCACCCTCCCTGCTGGCCTGAGATGAGAGATCAGGGGCCCCGCTGAGCTGTAAGTGGGTGTGGAACTCTGTGCCCACTTGCTGTCGTGTGCAGAACAGTGAGGCCCAGACAGGCAGTTACTCGCTCCAGGCCACCCAGCCAAGGGGTGCTGTGCAACCTCCCCTCTCGCAGTGAGGGCCCCCAGGTTTGTGGAGGGCTGGGGGAGGAGTCCAAGTGGCCTTCAGGGAAATGTCCTGAAGCCCTGTCCTCTCTCTGGCACCCAGCAGGCCCCTGTGTGGCCCCTCTGGGCTGGCTGCTGGCCCTCAGGTCTGTCCGCAAGGAGTCGGGTTCGGGGATTGTGGGAAAGGATGCTGTGTCCTCTGTGCCCCTTGGGCTTGTCCCAGTCTGTTGGTGCCCCTCGTCCTGGCACAGACCTGGAGCCAACACACCCTTAGAATCAACCCTAGAAGTCAGAGATTAAGGCCTCTCCTCCCCCCGCCCCCCCGGCAGCACACACACAGGATGAGACTTTCCGCGCCCTCTTCTGCTGGGGCGCTGAGCTCGGCCGGCTGTCTCCTCCGCCCCAGCCTTGGCCAGCCAAGGACGCTGAGGCCGGAGCTGGAGTCCATCTATCTTACAGGGGCCTGTGTGGGGGACGCTTCCCCGTCCTTTCCCACAGCCCTGCCTTGGCTGGGCCCATTGGTTTCGATGAAGAAAAGCAGGCCTGTGGTGTGGGAACGCAGCAAGAAGGAATCAAGTTGGACTGGTCGCCTCTAGGGGGTTCCTCCCAAGCTTTGAGGACCCCGTTTCCTTAGCGTGGCCAGAAAGGGGCTGTGGGTCTCAGTGGCGTTTTCACCCTGTCCTTGGCGTGTTGTTTTGCTTGCTGTTGGAATGCGTGTGCCCCTCTATTTAGCATGCAGGAGCCCGGGCAGGGGGTGCACGGACTGCCGTCCCTCTGCACCCAGGGCTCTCCCAAGCCTGTAGTAGGGACCAGGAGCATTGCACTGGGTGGCACTTGGGGACCTCAGTCTGTGATGAGAGGAGGAAGTACACCTGCTGGCCCCTCGCCCAAGCCCCGGGGCGTGGGACAGGCTAAGGGTATTTATTTCCTGCCCCACAGCTCGGGAGGGGTTGGGGGGCTGCGAGTGTGTTTTAGCATGTGATTGGTTCTGGGGTCCCACCTGCCTCCCTGGGGCTTCGACAGGGGAACCCTTTTGGCCCTGCTGCTGGGAGCTCCAGGCCTCCTGTCACAGTCCCGTCACCTCCCCCTTGCACCCTGTGTAATCGTTTCTCGGGCCCTCCTGAAGCCTCCACATAGAACATAAGTGATGAACATTAAATAGCAAAGAAAGAAAGAGTGTGAAGAGGCTTCCTGGGAGTTCGAGTCGTTTGGGTTGCGTTTGTATCGGGAACTCCAGGTGTAGCTGCCAACTCGGTGAGTTCTTGTCCTGTTTTTCCCCTCCGCCCACCTGGGAGTCCAGGGAGTTCCTGTGCGTAGCCACGAGGCTTATTTTAGTGGGATGGGGAGGAGTGGGGGCCCTTAGCCCCCAGATCTTGGAGAGGGAGAGCAGAAGCGGTCACGGGGGAGGCTGGCCAGCTGTGAACTTGATCAGATGTCAGACGTGAAGCTGACCACAGGGGACCCTGAGGTTTGCCAGTAGGACCAGGTCATGACCCCGCAGCTCCCAGCCACCCACGTGGCCTGTCTCTCACACACACACACACACACACACACACAGAATCTGGCTCCAGATGGCCCGGCAGGAGGCTGAGTCAGAGAGGCGGACTCTGCCCTCCTCCTCTGGTGGGCAGATTCCAGCCCTGGCTTCTGCCTGCCTGGCTGGGTGGGGGCTGCAGGGCTTCTGGCCCTAGGTGCTGCCCTACTCTGGGGCCAGCCGGGCAGGGGATAGAGCTGCTCAGCCTCTGCTGGTGGCTGGCTCAGTCTTCTGTGACTGGGGAAGGCAGGGGGAGGTGGGCTGCTTCCAGAAAGAGCAACAGAGCTTTCTTGACTTTGCATCCAGGGAGATGGGCCAGCCAGACTGCAGGGACTCAGACAAGGAGGAGGGGTGCTTTTTATTCTCCCCAGTGCACACACGCACAGAGAGATGGCGGCAAGAAGGCGTGGTGTGGGGAGGAGGGCCTCAGAGCAGGTCAGAGAAATTATCGCCGTATTAGGAACCAGCCTGTGGGGTGGAGGAGTCTGTGTGACTGGAAGGTGCCTCCTGTCTGGTGGAGGGGACAGGCCCGGACTCAGGGGTGCTCCTGATTCGATGAGAGAGCCAGAACTCCCATCCTAAGGGAGCCCCACTCCCTTTTTTGATGGAAGGATTTGGGGTCTTACTATGCAGTACAGGCTGGCCTTGAACTCTCAGTGATCCTCCTGCCTCAGCCTCCTGCGCGCTGAGATGATAGGTATGTGCCACTATGCCTTGCTTGCAACTGTACACTTTTTTAAAAAATTAGTTCTGTGGAGCTGGGGAACCAGCGCAGGGCCTTGCACAGGCCAGGTAAGCAAGCTCCGCGGAGTCACAGCCCCAGGCCCTCAACTGCATGCACTTGCCTGAGAAGACCAACTGGACAGGCCCTAGATGGTGTGCAAGGCCTCATCAAGGCAGGTGGAGGCCGCGCCTCCTTTGGCACCGGGGTCAGGGAAGGGCCACAGAAGCCGAGACCTATGGGCAGTAAGTTAAGAAGCCGGGGGAGGAGTGTTTGTGGTGTGAGGGTCTGGCAGAGGAGTCTGGACACTGACCTCAGGCGTCGGGAACCTCGGAGGGGTGGAGCCAGGGGGCACCACCCACAGATCTGGGTTTGTTCTGTCTGTTGCTGGTACTGGGGATTAGAGCCAGACACGCTCTCAGACTCCGGGTTGTACCTGAGGAGGCCGGAAGTGCCTGCCGCTAGTCCAACTCGCGGGCATGTAGAGCACAGATTCTTAAAGACATGGCACCAGAGGTCCCTCTGTACCTCGCCAACTGCACTGTAGACAAACCCTCTTGCCCTCCTTAGCCTGACCTCCGTCCCTCCTCTAATTTTCCCTCAAGAGCTTTCCATCTTTGCTGTGGTATTGGAGAGCTGGGTGCAAACCCCACCACCTTCCTGAGGCTCACTTCTCACTCTGCTGTTTTCCTCACTCGGTGCCCCCCCCAACCAGTATCCTTGCACTTCTCCCAGCTGTGCTGTTCCCACTGCCACAGGATATTTGCACCTGCTGCCCCTCTCTCCCAAGCTACCTCAGTCCAGGGCTTCCTTGGGGAAAAAACCCCAGGGCCCAAATCAGGCTTCCTGACTCCAGCTTCAGAAACTACCATGCTGCCTTCCTTTGCTTTAGACCATTTCATCTCTCTTTGTAATTAAGCACCTGTTGGGATGATTATTTGATTACTGTAAATTCCAGGAAAGCAGAATTACGCTCTGGTTTTGCTCACCCTCCAATCCTTAGCACCTTGCTTGACGCAGAGTTGGCATTCGACAGAATCATGCTGACTAAAGGAATGGGTGCACTCAGAGGCAGCTCTGTCCAGCAGAAATTAGTGCAAGAGATATATGTGCAATTTAAAGTAATTTAGTAGCAATATTACATGAGCAAAAAGGCAACAGGTAGGCTGGGGATGTAGCTTGGCAGGTTCTGAGTTCGATCCCCAGCACGGGTGGGGGAAGCAACAGGTGAATTTACTAGTAGATTTAGCCTAATCTAAAGAATTATTTCCACACATAATATTTTAAAATTATTGGAAATGCTATGTGTCTTTTTCTTTGGACTTGTAGCCGAGATGGCTGGTGGCCCCCATACTGGGCTGTACGATCCACTCATTCTGAGCACTGAGGGGCTCAGGATGGACAGAGACTCCCCTGCCTCCTCCTGTGTCATCAGTGCTCTCGGCCCCCCACCTCCTATGTGTCCCCCACACCCCGGCTCCAACCCGGAGCCTCCTGGTGGGCTCTTTCATCCTCCATCTTTGCCAACCCCAGGTATCTACTCCAGGGAGGTGGTGGGAGGCTTTGCACCCAGCACTCCCAGGGGAGAAGGGGCTGGACCAGAGCTGGGGGTCAAAGGACTCCATCTCCCATGATGCCCTGGGCTGGGGCCTGTGGACCATGTGTCTGGGGCAGGCAGCTCCTGGAAAAGGGGAAGCGGATTCCTCCCCAGCTCGGTGGCAGCTGGTAGGCAGAAGGCCAGGAGACCGGGCCAGGCCCCAGGCCTCGGGCTGCAGCAGATCTGAGGCTCGGAGGGCTCCTTCTTCGGCCTCCTGTGCCTTGCTGCCCCCAGAACCGGCCCCCTGGCTGACCATTCCTGTCTACGCCATGCTCCCCGCTGCAGTCCTTCTGCCTGGGCACCAGCTCCTCACAGTGCCCTCTCAGGACCCACACTTGGCCACTCCTGTGCGTGCAATGCCCATGCAGGCCCAATGGCACCTCCTCTGCTCCAAATGTGGGTCGAGTCACCCCTGGACCCGAAGTTAGGGGTTTGCACAGTCACCCCCATTTCCCAGGATGCTCCGGCTGAGCCGTTTGCCTCTTCCAGCCCCAGAACCATCCTAGTGCTGAGGCCAGCAGCATTTCCCAGAGGCTCCCACACGGAAGAACAGTCAGGAACATTCCGGCTCTCACCCTCTGTTCCTCCCGGGAGACTCAGCTCTGCCCTCTTCCCACAGCATCCGGGCACTTCCCAGCCCTGGCGTTCCCTTCCCAGCAATCCCCGCTCCAGCTGTTTCCAGCAACATTCTCAAAGGGCTCCCGGGAGAGGTGGGTTTGGGTCTCCTCCCTGGGTTGGGATGGTTCCCTTTGGAAAAGTCAAGGATGTTTGCACCCTCTTCCTGTATTCTAGTGACTCACAGACTTTCAGGGACTGCCCAAGTCAGCCACCAAGGAGGGCCTGGAGCCCCCAGTAAGTCATTGGCTTGGGGGGTCAGCATCCACCTTTGGGACCCCCACCAGCAGCCCAGATGGTTCTCATTCTAGTTCTGCAGCCCTCGGGATGCCAGCACTGCACGTAGGACCTGCAGTCTGTCCACTTTCCTTGTTGCCTACACGAATCATGCACCTTTGTGTGGCACAAGGGTGTGGCTTAGGGAATTCATTGCTCATCAGAAGTGGGAAGTCCAGCTGGGTGTGGTAGCACATGCCTTTGGATCCCAGAACTTGGGAGGCTGAGACAGGAGGATTGCTGTGAATCCAAGGCCAACCTGGGCTACATAATGAGCTCAAGGCCAGCCTGAAATGAACTGCATACAGAGACCCTGTCTCCAAAACAACAACCCAAAGGAAGCGGGAAGGCACTGGGCCGAGCAACACCCAGGGACCTGTTTCTCTTACTTCCCTTGTGTCTGTTTCCTAACTGGGCTTCTCCTTGCACTAAGGGAATTGCAGGACTTCAGGTTCAAGGCCACGGGAGGGAGGGCACTTGGCCCCAAGAGTCCCAGCAAGTCCCCAGTGTCCTTGGTTCTGATTGGCCCATCGCCGTGGCCTGGGAGGTGATCACCAGTTGGCTAAGTGGCTGAGGTCACACACTGCATCACCAGGTAGGGGCTGAGAGTGGGCAATCGAAGGTCAGGCTACCGACAGAGTCCCCCGAACCTATCCTAACTCAATGCGGGGCCTCCTTCCTCCTCACTAGGTAGCCTGAGAGTGATTTTCTGATAGAAACCCCTGTGAAACAAGTGGGTATTGGGGTGCAGGACCAGCCAGACAGTACTGGGGTTCCCAGGAGGAAGTGTTAGTGGCTCCAGGGACCCGAGAGGGTCGCGCGGGGAAGGTGTGCAGGTTGCTTTACTGGGACTGGACGGGGTTTGGGGTACAGGGATGGAAGAGCTGGAGAAAACAACGGCAGGGAACAGGCTACTTGGATCCTTAGTCATGGGAACAAAGTAAGAGCTAGAAATTAGGTTGAGATTGCCTGAGCCAGAGACTGTTCTGGAAGGACCTAGGGGCCAGCAGAGCTGCGAGGTGGCTCCTCAGGTGCGGAAGGGCTGGGAAGCAACTCAAGAAGTCAGCAGAGGGGAGCAGACTCATGGCAGAGGGGGGTCTGGATGCACTCCGGCTCTAGCCTTGGCAGCTGGGGGTGACGGAGCTGTTCCTAGAAATGGGGTGCTCTGGAGGAGATGGCGGCTTTCAGGGAGACCAAGGATGCCCGGCTGAGGAGGAGTGGGCCGCTGGCCATGCCAGTGAGAAGGGCAGGAGCACCGGGCCGCCCGTGTCAGGCGTGCCAGGAAGTCCAGGGTTCGGGTGGGATGTTCTGAATCCCCTGCCAGCTGGGCGACTTTGCGCTGCGCCCTCTCTCCTGGGGCTGCGTGGGGCTCCTCGGCCAGCGGAAGGGGGCTGGCTTGGGTCCTCAGGACCGGACTCCACTCATCCTGCCACAACCCAGCACCTCCTTCCCCAGGAGCTCAGAGTCCAGTCCAAACGGAGAGAGAAACCGTCCGAAGTTCTGGTGAGGGCGAGCTCTGCCAGGAGACCCTCAGCCTAGAGCTCCCGTCCACCTCCGGGACCAAGTCAGGTTCATCCCATCTCCTCCGGGGCTGAGTGGCTGGAAGCCGCCACACTCACACCGGGTAGTGAAGGAGCCGCCCAGCAGCCTGGGCACCATGGGCCCCCATCTGGAGCAGCGCATGGCCTGGCACTGCCCAGAGGGTGCCATACGCCCGGCAGGCTGGGGCCTGCTGCACACTTCTCGGGGAGCTGCCAGGAGGCCCTGGGGCTGGGCGAACCCAGCGGTGACTCAGGTGAGGGTGGGGGACAGGGAAGCTGCGATCCTGGCCAGGCCGTGGCACTGCACCCCACCAGCTGCCTGGCTAGCCGGGGGCAGAGGAGGCAACCTAATCGGCTGACACCGCCACAGTCCCACCCAGGAGACCCGAAATCAAGAACAGAGGTGCAGGCCTGGGGACCCCATCCTTCAGGCTGGCAGCAGGAGACCAGCCTCGGTGGGAGAGAGGCCCGGACACCCAGGGGGACCCTAGGGGACAGGGAGCTAATAGAGCTGCCTGTTAACTGGGCCCCCTGAGACACTGCGTAGTGACCCCAGATGACACCTGTCTAGCATTTTAAAACCTGGGAAGCACTCGTGTGTCTACACGTTCAGGTAATCGTCGGTTAGTCCTGGCGGAGCAGTGTGATCGGACCACCTCACAGATGAGACCACTGGTACCCAGAGATTTGCCCGCGGACACCTGAGGGGCTGGGAAGGCTGAGCCGGGAGCCACAGTCCCCCAGCACCTTCTCCCCCTGTGCTGTCCCTCATGCCAGGCTGGCTGTGCTGCCCACAGGCCGGGGTGGAGGCCGAGGCAGAAAACGGAAATGGGGGCTGGGATTCAGAGAAGGGGCAGAGGATGAAGATTAAACTGAGCCCACTCTCTCTGGCCGAGGCTTATTCCCCTCGCAGGATTCCGTGAAGAGTGGCAGGGACAGCTGGGACCCACGAGGGAAAAACAAAGGGATCCCAGTTCAGAGCCTGGCGCCTTAACCCTGACGAGGGCCGGCACCCGCTGCGCTCTGCTCCCACCCTGCACCATGTGCCGCAGGGGCTGGTGCCGTGGGGACCCTGGCTCGGAGCCCGGCAGGCCAGGCCTGGTGAGGTCGGCAGACAGACGGCCACGCTGCAGGCCCAGTTTTTACCCTGGGAACCCTTTCCTGGACCCCACACCCACCCTCAACTGCCCATCTCTTTGCCCTCCGAAGCAGTTCTCCAGGACCCCAACACCTTCCTTTAGTTTTCCGTCTGTTTGCTTGTTTTTTGAGACGGCCTAGCTATGTAGCGCAGGCTGGCCTCCAGTTTGTGGTGACCCTACTGAGTGCTGAGGTGACAGGCATCCACCACCGTGCCGAGTGCCCTGCCACCCTCTTTGGGGATTCCAGAAAATCTGCCTTTTCAAGACACCACCCTTGGCTCTCTGGGCGGCCCCTCGGGGACCTTCCCGACTTCTCCCACCTTTGCTGTGGGTGGAGTTCGGCCCCATCCCCAGGGACACCAGGGGACAACACGGGGCTTTGAGAGCCACACAGTCCTGGACCCAAAGCCAGGACCTGTCACTTGCCAGCTCTGGGGACTTGGCTGGGGTGGTCCCAAATCCTGTCTGAGCCTTGTTCCCTAAACACTGAGGTCCCCCTGACAATGTGCTGTGTGACTGGAAGGTAGAACTCTGCATGTGAGACTAGACCTAGCACAGCCTTGTTAAATTGTATTTATTAACATAATTGTCTTAAATTAGACTGAGTCACTGTTCCTCCTCAGAGGGCCCCACCCTGTCCTCCCCGTACCCTTTGTGGGCACAGCTCACGTTTTGCCACAGGGCCTCCTCAGTGCCTGCTGCCCGTGTCCCCAGCACTGTCCCCCGTGCTCCTGAGAGCTGCGTCCCTCTGTCCCCACTTCCTGGACCCTTCCTGGGTCTCCCTCTGGCTTGGCCTCCGGGATCTGCATGGAAAGGACTCTGCTGGACTTGGGGATTTGGATCCTAGCGTTTATCGGGTGCTCCGCCCCCCACTGCCCCTGTGGTGCCCTGGCCAGGCAAGTAGAGGCAGGGGAACGCTGGCTGCTGCCCTTTTCCACCCAATGGGTCCGGCCTGGTCCCCTCCTACCCACTCAGTCCCCTGTCCCTGAAGACTTCACACCCTGGGCTCTGAGAGCCCCCGGGGGCCAGCACCGCCTCTCAGGGACAATCCAGCCCGACTGTGCTCGGGGCAGATCAGGGAAGTGGGAGGGCAGAGACAGAAACCAAACCAGGGGACAGCCTGTGACTTGATCCAGCCTGACAGGGTTTGGCAAGAGCCCTCCGCGGCCATCCCTCGGGTTCTGCCCAGGCCAGCAGCTTGCCCTTCCTCCACTCCTGGCTGACAGAGAGGGCAAGCCACCCACAGACAGAGATGCGTGACACACACAGCCAGGCCTCGGCTTGGGGAGGCGGAGGGCAAGGCAGTGGTGACTGCCCAGGGACGCTGCAGCTGGCGCGTGGCTGGGGACAGTGCCTGACACTTGTCTGCCTCTGGGAGGCTCCCAGGGATGCACCCACTGCAACCTCTGTCACCTGGACGGCAGACCCCCAACAACATGGGCCACGATTAGCAGTCACCCCACTGTACCGAGGAGGGAATTGAGGTTCCAAGAGGCCCAGCTGCTCTCTCAGGGTCACACTATGGGTGCACAGCAAAGGTGGGGACCCATTAGAGTACCTGTGCTCCCAGAGGCCATCTGTCCTCTGAATCTGTGAGTTCTGCACCCACAGATTCAACCACCTATGGATTGAAAATATTTTGGGGGGTTTTTTTGGTAATGGGGAACGAACTCAAGACCTTGCACTTCTGAGGCAGGAGGCAGAACCACTGAGCTAAATCCCTGGCCCTGAAAATATTTTTTAAAAACTTAAATCAGATGTGGTGGCGCACGCCTGCAATTTCAGCACTCGGGAGGCTGAGGCAGGAGGATCCCTCTGAGCTCGAGGCCAGCCTGTTCTGCCTGGTGAGTCCAAGGCCAGCCTGAACTATATAGCAAGACCCTGTCTCAAAACAACAAAAACTAAATAAATGAATGATGAAATAAGTTGTGCCTGTATTAAACAGGTACAGACTCTTTTTCTCACCGTTCCCTGAAGAATACGTGTAACAATCATTCGTGTCACATGTACATTGCACCGGGTATTAAAGTCTTCTGCAGGTGATTTAGAGTGTCCAGGAGGGTGAGGTGGGTTGGGTGCAAACACCGCACCATTTTATACAAGGGGCTTGGTGTCCGCCAGGACCCCAGAACTGATCCTCTGTGATACTGAGGGACCCTGGCCTCGTCCCACAGTGCCCTGTGCATGGGGGAGGCTGTCTCGGGCAAACAAACCCCAAAGGCTCAGCTGGCTCTGGAGGACACAGGAGTGGAAAACAGGCTCCCCCTCTCCCATGTGCACCCCAGGGCCTCCAGTGGGGGCCTCCTGGCTTAGAAAGCCATGAGCAAAGTCCCTCAACTTCTAAACAGAGACTTGCCTCTCTCCTGGTTTTGCTACAAGCTCCAGGCCTCCCAACCTCTCTGGGTGCTCTCCTGGTCCTGTAGCAGGGGAGATCCTGTCCTGGGGTGCAGCCTGGAGGGGCTCAAGGCCCTTTCTTGTACAAATAGCAAAGCTCTAAGCAGGGCATGGTGGCCACAGATCTGTAATAATCCCAGCACTCTGGGAGGCTGAGGCAGGACGATGTGAAGTTTGAGCCCAGCCTGGACAATTTAGTGACTTAGCCAGATCTTGTTTCAAAATGAAAAATAAATAAAGTCTGGGATGTATCTTAGCATAAAGGTCCGGGGTTCAATCCCATACTGTACTGCCAAAAAAAAAAAGGAAAATAAAGCTCCATACCTTTTCTTCTGTCTGCCTTAGGTCTAGCCTCAGGGCCTTATGCTATTTACAGGAGACGGAAAATGTGTGGAGCAACTTTTCAGAAGCCCCCAGACTGACAAGAAAAGCCAGCCTTTGACTTTGGTCAGCTCCAGGCTGATGGTGGAAACGGGTCACACAGAGGA